ACAATGAAGCTGCCTAAAAATCTAAAAATTTCTCTAAAGTTCTTAGGACTTCTCTGAAGATCACAGAACTTTGCTGAAGTTTTTGGAAATTCCCTGACTTTCTTGTTACGTTATTTGAACTGAGGTTTTCTGACCTTCTCTGATCTACTAGCTATTCCAAAGTTAGTGCAGTTCACATTAAGTTCCACACTGGAAGATTTTCCCTGAAATGTTTTGGACTTCTGTTATGAGTCCTAAATATGTATGAAGTTTTCTAAATTTCTCATGATATTTCATGGAGCTTTCTTGAATATATATATAAATTATCCTTTACAGATCTTCGATCATCCCCAAAAGTCTGGACTCTCCTGAAGTTATTGGGACTGCCCTTAGGATCTCTGAGCTTGTCTGAAGATCTCAAGAACTGTCTGAGGTCTTTGGATTTCTCTGAAGTTTTCTTGACATTCCTGACAATCTTAGAACGACTTAAAGTTCATGCAGTTTCCATGAAGCTGATGGAACCACCTTGAAGTTCTTAAAGCTTCTCTGAAGCGCCCAAAATTGTACAGATGTTCTCAAATTTTACCTTATTATCCCGCAGGTCCATGAATTTTTTTCCGAAATCCCAGGTATTTCCTTTCATTCCTTGGATCTTCTTTAAAGTTTTTAAAACAAGTGTGGACCCCCCTGAAGTTCTCTTATCTATCCTGAACATCTCGTTATTTTTCTGAGGATATTTCTGGAACTGCTCTGAAATCAATGAAACTGTCCTGAAAATCTCTTAATATCCCACCGTTTTTTGCAGTTCCTTGAAGTTATTGAAACTTCTCAAAAGTTTCAGAAATTTTGATTGAGTTCTTTTAACTTCCCTGATGTTCTCTGAATATCTTGAAATTCTTGAAATTTCTCTCTTTTTTCGAATGTTAACCAACAATCAATACGAAACTATCGATTTTAAATTGGCTCACTACTTGACTAACCGATTGGTCCCAAGCAAATCGATTAACGTGCCCCATTCTAAATAGTATAAATTCCAGTACTACACTATGTTTGTTTCGACTTTCACTATGAAAGTTTGACAGATAAAATGAGGGGTTAGTGGATTTTCCTATGTTTTGAGGGGTGAATCGATTAGCTTGGGATCGAAGAGAGTACCAGAGCTGAGCCAAAAAGTGGAGCACGTTTCTTCGGGACCTTCTAGTCTTAGAGTTACCTCTATGTTTTAACCGTCTTAAAATTCTCGAAATATATTTGAAGCTTTCAGAACTTTCCTGAAGTTCTCGCAATTTTTCTGTTATTCATGGAGCTGTTTTGAAATTCTCAGAAAGTCACAAAGTTCACGTAACTTCCCTTAACATCTTTGAACTTAGACTTCATCATTTAAAATCTTCAAACTTCTAATAAGTTCCTGCAATTTTCCTGAATTTAATGTAACAGTTTTGAACCAGGCTAGGAAATTGTCAACCTCATGACAATAAACTATGTAACAAAGACAAAAAAAGTCAACGCTCATCTGACAAGCACGATGCAACAAATTTCTGCTTGAAAGACTGATCTACTGGACTGTCTCTCAACGAAACATTTTCTATTCTTCCCAGACAACCAGAATGCACGTATATTCAAAGTTGTTTTCGTGATATACAAACAAACAATTCGTATATAATGCAAAGAAATTGCTTATACGTACAAAAGTGGAGGCCATATACATGCATATTTTAATTTAATTTTAAACGAGTTGATTTAACATCATATACGATTTAATCTGTAATCACAAATTCATTTTGAAAAGTCTTACGATGTAATCCGATTTAATTTGTGATACAGTACGATGGAAAAATGAGTCATCGCATATTGGTCGGAAATTTGCATTCTATACGATTTAACTTAAACATAATACGAGGTATGCCATGCTTATATGCGGTTTTGACTAAAACTGTAGCAATTTACGATACTGTCTGTACATTATTATACGACTTCTGGTTGTCTGGGTTGTCTTTCTCTCATTTGGTCACGAAACATCTGTTGCGTGACGTTTTCCAGAACGACTTAGTTGTTTCACGTACGTCGGAGGACAAGATTGACGGAAACTGTTGGTTACCTGGTTATTGACGAAAAAAGTGTGTCATGTCATTCTTCGATTCTGTCGCGACAAAACTGCCGCTGGTCGTTTTCTAATAAATGCATGTCGCTTTGCATACAAGACATAACAAGACGGAAATAACTGGAATTGTGTTGTTTTGACGGGATTTCACCTCTGACTCGAAGTAGCTTGAATCTTGGCGCTGAACTTCGTGTTTGCAAGTATCTAAGTGATTTCTAGTGATGGGTATATTTGGAACGGACACGACTGGAAGCTGCCGAAAATCAATGTCCGACGCCATTTTGGAATCCAAGATGGCGGCCATTGTTTTCAGATAATCTGTCAAATACCCTAAAATGTGGGTATTTTTCAGAACGGGGACTACGCCTACATTCCGAAAATCGATGCCTGATGCCATTTTTGAATCCATGATGGCGGCCGTTGACTTCAGAAAATCTGTAAAATACTCTACAATATAGGTATTATTGGAACGGGGACGACGGGTAGATGCCGAAAATCGAGGTCTGACGCCATTTTTGAATCCAAGATGGCGGCCATTGACTTCAGAAAAACTATCAAATTCCCTATTATATGGATATTTTCGGAACTGGTTCGACGTGTACATCCCGAAAATTGATGTCTGACGCCATTTTGGAATTCAAGATGGCGGCCGTTTTTTTTCTGAAAAGCTGTCAAATCCTACGATATGGATATTTTCGGTCATTCCTCAGAATCTCATTCCACATAATGCACTAATCCCCAGAATGTACCATTCCCCAGAAAAGTACGAGGGGGGCGACACATCTAAATCTCAATTCTAGATGCTCAAAAAATCTCACATTAGCGAATAAATCTTCGAAAAATCTTCTTTCATTTCTCGCATCTACTTGCATCGCGCATCATCTTTTTGCAGGATCGTGGAAATTTGGAAAATCGTGATAAATCTTCTTTCTATCTTCTCAGCGTACGCGCAGCTAGCCACAGCAAAACACAATATTTCCTGCATCGTAGATAGAGTCGTCCCCCTCGGAAAAGTATGCCATGTATTAGATTGACTTTTTTTGTTTATTATCGTCACTCCTGCTTCCGCATCCGTCTATTAACGTCTCTTTGAACTGTTCCCCTGGTAGAAGAGAATTAAGTTCATTCTAGACAGCATCGTCACTCCTGGAGTCTTCTTTCGCGTATATAAAAAGAAGAGAAAAACTTCTTAATGGTTTAAGGGGTTTTAGAAGACCTTAATGGATAAGAAAAGCAAATAATTAATTCTTTGGATAAACGATAAAGAAGGGAATATTCCCTTCTGTTAATATATAAAAGACAACATAATTAATTCGTTGAATCTGTATATATAAAAATGAATTTCTGTCTGTCTGACCCTTATAGACTCGGAAACTACTGAACCGATCGGCTTGAATATTTGTATGCAGGGGTTTTTGGGGCAGGGAAAGGTTCTTATGATGGTTCGGGGCTCCCATACAAATGAAACAGAATTTTTGCATAGCTCGAGAACTAATCAAGCAAATGGAACCAAATTTGGCATGTGGAGGTCATAGGGTAGCCCCTTGGATAAGAGGGGGAGGGATTGATTGATTGATTTATCTTTATTTAGGAGGCTTTCAGCCTGAGGCTGGTTCGCCCCCAAAGAAGAGGGGGAGGGAGGCTACGTAGAATAAAGCATGGTTTTTTAATTGGCGAAAACTCAAGCTAATATTGAATCCCGAGCAAGGCCGGGCACACTCAGCTAGTATATGATAAAGAAGAGAACATTCCCTTTTTTGAAAATATAACATAAGAAAATAACTAATTCTTTGGACGTATGATAAAGAAGGGAATATTCTTATACGTTCCATGCACCGATTTTTTAATCTATCACGAGAAATTCTTCAACTCAGGTCGAACAATTCTTCGATAAGGTTTAACAATTTCCGACTTGTTGAATTGGATTGCATTATAGACCTTTTGTCATTTTAAATGATGAACGAAGTGCTCGAAAACTTGAAGGTTGTCATTTTCTAAAGAGCTATAAAATGGTTTGGAATTGATAAATACATAGTTCCATATAAGTAAACGTTGTGTATCATCAATAGTAAAGTGAAACTAATCAGAGAGTTTTATCATGAAAAATAAATTAAATCAAATGTGTAAAATTTATCGATCGGTTCAGTCATATTCAGGGGCTTGCATTGGCGCTTTGTAATAAATAAAATATGTATATTAAGCTGTTCTGTAATTGTAATATCAAATAACCAACAAAAAAAGTGATAAACTACAAATTTCATTATATATTCTAGGGAATGTTATAGAATGTTAAAATCACTTATAAGTTTGTCGAATAAAAATTAATCCATAACCGTTCTAAACACAATTATATAAAGGAAATGGGGGTAAATGTCCATAGCAGGCAAAATGCGCTTCCTGCTATATCTGCTGCTAGTTAAAATGATGACGAAAAATTTGCCGTCTTACGTTAAACTTTAAACGTAGGGTAATGAATTTTGGTTGGACCTATTTTTACCGGCGCTGAAACTTCTTCTAAAAGCTCATAGATATAAAGTATTATGTTTTATAAGAATTTTTCGAATAATGTCGGTTTTAATATGTTTTCAAAAATAGATCACTTTTAACCTATTTTCTCATCAACATGGCTCACTTTAGAACGTCCACACGAGGAATGTTTTCATATTTGCGTTCAGCCTGTCGACGTCTGGCTTAATCCTCTATAATCAAACAAATTTAGCCCCCTTCCTCTTATTTTTAAATCTGGCTACGATCATGAAATCCACACTTTTATCTGATGTTCATGCCATTTATTTTGCATGTAGACGCATTTATCGAGATTTCGAAGCAAAATTCGCCTGGATTAGCCATAATTTCTCAAGTACGCTCAAGTGGGCAATTATTGCCTGAAATCAAAAATAATAAGCTCTTAATTACTCACCCGTACGCGATTATCGTAGAGCGTGTCAATCAGCGTGATGAACCGACGGGTTTGCGATTTCAGCTTCAGATTCAACTGCGGGATGTCTCTGATAAGTATGGTGTGAAAGAATTGCGATATCTGGATGTAATCCGATGCTCCAAGGGGCTGCAACAATATTAGCATTGAATCATTATCAGCTAGATCTTATCATGTTTTGTTCTGGCAACAATACCCTATCACAAAGCTCCTCGAATGTACTATCCAAGACCTGTCCGCAGGTTTTGGCGAAGGAAATATTACGACCAAAGTGGGTGAACGTCTTCGGGCGAATCATGTCGTTTTCCTGCGAGCAGAGCACCTTGAACAGCTTGTCCATGGCACCGTCTGCGTCCATTTGAGATTTGCTGAAATTTTCCATATCATTCAGAGTCTGTAAGGTAGTGGATCTGAAACTTACACAAAATAGTGCATCCCCTCGCCTTTGAGCGTTGCCGTCCGGTAGTCCACCCCGCTGTCCAAGTTGACCACATGGCAGTGACTCTTCAGAACTCCAATAAACGGAACAAAATTACTGCGCTGCAATCCGTTCTTGTAGAGATCGTCGGGGGCGCGGTTACTCGTTGCTACCACAATAACGCCATTATTGAACAGATACGTAAATAACCGCTTCAGTATCATCGCGTCCGCTATGTCGGTGACCTATAATGGTTGTAAATCATGTAAATGAATCCACTCCACCGCGAAAGCAGCTCTAATTGATAAGGGTGCGTGTTTGTATATTTATTCTTATTTATTCACGAGGACCATGCCAACAACAACAGGCGACAGACTCGTTGGAGGATTGGCTCACCTGAAATTCGTCAAAACATATCAGCCACGAGTCTTCAGTGATGATTTCTGCGACGGGTTTGATCGGATCAAAGGGCTGCGGTTTGGTGTTGCTCACGTCACGGACCTGTTTCAATTTGATCTCGTGGATCTTCGTGTGGACGTCGGTCATGAACGAGTTGAAGTGGACGCGTCGTTTACGATTCATCTGAAGAGGAGAGATAAACAAAAATGTACCTACATATTGGTGCAGTAAATATTTCTCTATAATCATTGATTTATGTCATTATCGTGGTGTGTTGCGAGAAATCAAATTAACTCGATGCACATTCATAGGATTGCTAAGTTTACTTATTTTTTATTGTTAAAAATCAATGATTGTAATTTAAAATACTTTAAAATTTCTATGATAGTCAACTCTATTAACGTTACACACCTCACTAGCGTCACTATCGTCAGCTGCTCGCCTTGCTTTGTCTTACCTTCTCACCTCTCCCATCCCTTTTCCCCACACAAACTCACCGTGCAGCAATCGTAGAACATATCCATCAGCATGGTTTTTCCCCCACCAACACTGCCGTAGATGTAAAGCCCCTGGGGGGCTTCTACCTTGTCCGGTTTTCCGAAACTGAACCATTTCCCCAGTCCACTGGTCGCCTTCGGAGGACTGTAGTTCTGAATACTGTCATAGACGACCTGCAAGGCCGCGGTTATTTTCTTCTGATGATCGTCAGGTCGGATATCGTTGCGAGCAATTTTTTCATCCAACAAATCTAGGGGTGAGCGTCCCGCGGAACTCTGACAATACCACCGTCCTCCATTCAGCACACTCGCCAACGCACATGAGCACTGCTTCAATCCACCACCGATGGAACTTCTCGTCAAGAACAGCATTTTTCACGGACAGCGGGATGAAACTCGCGAGAACTTTTTTCAACTAGGTCAAGTTTGACCATAATATTTTATTATGTAAGGAATGGTAAAGACGTAAACTGGCACTACTGGCGACGAGGAACGACAGATTAGTGCGGGTGACAAGTGCTGCTGTGGAGCATTTTTTTCTTTAATGTATCTAACGTTAACGATAGGTGCTGACGAAGATATACTTGAAAACGTCAGAGCAAACGCGCGTGAGCTATTTGATGCATGTAGTGGTGCGCGCCGGGGGGCTGATAGATAGTGTATCACTGATTTTACATTCTCAGATTAAATAGTATGATAAGAGCAATAAGAGTGATTGGATATGTGGTGAAGTACTAGATTATCAAGTGCATTGTTAAAGTTCCACCTGTCTGATTATTTGGTGGCCCCTCGGAAGAACACCACGCTGGATTTGATTACGGTTCCCTCCACCAGAGCGATATAACGTGCACGTGGTTTGCTTTGATGGTGGTTGTATTATTTACCGCAGGCGCTGTGCAGTGTGTTGTTGATGAAAATCGATTGTACATTACAATCTTGGGCCATGCAACCGTCCTCGAAGAATATGTTAACGGTGGTTACTAAAAGTAACTTAACTAAATTGAGAAACATATCAAATATCTACATCTTCTTCTACTTCTAGGCTTTTTAGGCTTCTTTGGCGAACGTATTGCCGGCTCTCAACTTTATGTTCTAGATGCACTTCCACAGTTATTAATTGAGAGCTTTTTATGCCATCCAATACATGACTAAATTTTATTATGTTTTTTTTTATTACATATAGTCACTATGGATGTTAACCATTACGCCGGGGTAGTTTATTGTGTGGCAAGCACAATAATACTTTATGCCCAGGGAAATCGAGAAAATTTCCTATTCGAATGATTTTTTTTTTACCAGACCGGGAATCGAACAAGCTGCCCCTGGCTTGGTAATTTACCTTTTATCTAGGCTCTCTGAGGCCTCAAAGATCTAGATAAAGTACCCGTTCGATTTTGGCAACAAGCCCGAATATTTAGTGTTGCCAAAATCGAACGGATTTATTTTGGAAGTCAATTTAGGAGTCATCTTTTTGACATAGAAGTTATTAATAATTAATCTTTTTTAGTACTTAAGGGGGTTAGATTTTGATAAGTTCTTTAGTGGGAATGACACTGATGAAGACTGCACATTGTAGTCGAAATACGTATCTGTCATGGATACCAAAATGAATTAAGTGGAATTAAATGGAAGATAAACCCTTTTGCTGTTTTATTTAGCATTCCGCTAACAACCCAATTTCATTACTTCATTATGATGGCTACCAAGCCTTTGGGGATTTTCCTTATTAGAGATTTGTATAGATTTTTCTCCTTTAGCTTACTTAAATCTTTGGTTTTTATTAGTTAGGTAGGTTCCGATTCAACACATTGTAGTTTCATTTTTATACCTATGATCTTGACTTTTTTACCTATGGGATGAGTACTTAAGGGGGTTAGATTTTGATAAGTTCTTTAGTGGGAATGACACTGATGAAGACTGCACATTGTAGTCGAAATACGTATCTGTCATGGATACCAAAATTAATTAAGTGGAATTAAATGGAAGATAAACCCTTTTGCTGTTTTATTTAGCATTCCGCTAACAACCCAATTTCATTACTTCATTATGATGGCTACCAAGCCTTTGGGGATTTTCCTTATTAGAGATTTGTATAGATTTTTCTCCTTTAGCTTACTTAAATCTTTGGTTTTTATTAGTTAGGTAGGTTCCGATTCAACACATTGTAGTTTCATTTTTATACCTATGATCTTGACTTTTTTACCTATGGGATGAGTACTTAAGGGGGTTAGATTTTGATAAGTTCTTTAGTGGGAATGACACTGATGAAGACTGCACATTGTAGTCGAAATACGTATCTGTCATGGATACCAAAATTAATTAAGTGGAATTAAATGGAAGATAAACCCTTTTGCTGTTTTATTTAGCATTCCGCTAACAACCCAATTTCATTACTTCATAATCTTTTATTAAAAATTGAAATCACAAGGAGCAAACATATATGACTTTCTAAATCCGTTAGATTATGGCACAGTGCCAAAATCGAACTCCGTGCCAAAAACAAACAGTTTTATGGTTTTGTTGCCAAAATCAAACCGTGTCAATATCGAACTGGTATACCTAATAAAAATAACCATAAAAGAGAGCTTAACGACGTGTTCCAGGTATCATCCAAACCATTTGTGGGACAGTTAACCCATACGGGATACAGTTCGTCTATGTTATTTATTTATTAGGGATTGTAACTAGCTTTAATTTTTTTTAATAATGCGTTTATTTTTCAAGGCTCATTTGCTGTAGCTTTCCGGAGCTCTAGCTTTAATTAGGAATGTGCTACTTTAAATAATTCGCTTTACTTAAACCAAACAAAAGCATGTAAAATAATAAGACTAGCAAATCCCGAATAAGATCCTTCAAATCAACTGGCATCGCTTCTTCGTTCTCAATTGACCAAGTTAATAAATCATTCAGCGCTTGTTTCTCATTGTAGAACGTTCAAAAAGAGGGGCCACAAACAATCGCAATGGAAGCGATAAGAAGTGATCCGTTTGATTATAATAGGGTAGATAACCACTTGAGCCTAATAGCCCATTTCAGGCCTATCGAGCAGAAAAAAAAATCACATATTTACATATTATCTATGATTCAATTATATGTTTGGTATGTCCCACAAAGTCTTCAAGAGCTCAAAGTATGAATATTAACATCCTTTTTTTTTATTTATTTTTTTCAATGAAAATCAAAAGAAGCACTCCAACTGAACCCATTTTTTCAATTCTAGATAAACATTTCGTAAGGTCCTATCTGCATTGATCGATTCTCTTCATCAAATTTCTCTTTCGTCAATAACTCAGCTGCAAAACCTTTCCTTGTCGTATTTGACGTTTTGGACGCTAGATAATAACCTCATTTATCAAAACATGTCGTAGAATTAGCGCGAAATTTGTTTGCATAGCAGTGGAGTGAAAAGAGAAAGTCGATGAAGAGAATCGATCAAAGCAGATAGGACCATTTGAAATGTTCATCGAGAATTCATTTATAACTTCATCCGTAGGCCTCAGAGAATCCAATTGTGTTTCAATGCTTTAGGACGGAATTAGAATCCGAGGTTAGGTAGGCCGAGTTTGTAATCAAGAAGCAGTGTTAGATTTTTATCAATATATCAACTTTTTGTTTCTGTTTAACAAATCTTATGGTACGTATGAAAAGGTAATTAAATTTTGAAGTCATTCATAGTAGAAACATTTAATTTTGTGTTAAAATTCGCCCGGAAAAGAAAGTTAAAGAGAAGGTTTTGTTTAGTAGGTCCATAATTAGATCTATTATTAAATTTTTACTTATTTCAGAATATCGCAATTTGTTTTAAATTTCAGATCTCGAAACATGTCAATGTCCGAGAGGATCTCAAACATTTTTCGATTGCGACTCACTTTTAGGAATTGTATAAGTCCACGACCCACCAATATTAAATGCAAAAAATAAATTCTAACGTTAAAATAATCTTGAAAACTCAAAAAAACGGGAGCCACATATGCCACTCAGGTGTTGTATAAGAGCTCCCAATGGTTTGTTTTGATGCGTTTATTCCATGTTCGTATAGCTCTTGTCAATCGGTTTGACTAAGGTGCTATAAAAGTTCTCGTAGGTCTTATAAAGCATATAGTTAAACCGAACGTAAACAATCATTTAAGAGTGCTCCAAGCAGCTTTTGAAGCTTCTGACCAAAAAGGCAATACAACTACATTCTTGTTCAACTCTGGAAGCTATTATTCAACGTTTGATCAACTCAGGTGTTTTATAAGAGCTCCCAATTGTTTGTTTTGATGCATTTATTCCACGTTCTGTATAGCTCTTGTGAATCAGTTTAACTAAGGTGCTATAAAAGTTATCGTAGGTCTTATAAAGCATATAGGTAAACCGAACGTAAACAATCATTTAAGAGTGCTCCAAGCAGCTTTTGAAGCGTTTAACCAAAAAGGCAATACAACTACATTCTTGTTCAACTCTGGAAGCTATTATTCAACGTTTGATCAACTCAGGTGTTTTATAAGAGCTCTCAATTGTTTGTTGGGATGGCTTTCAAACAGCCATGGAATTTTAACGCCAGTTGTTGGTAGGTTTCAAATAATCGATTTTTATTCAAGTTTTCGGATCTCTTTTCCGTCGATCTTGTTTTCCGTACTGAGTACGCCAGGGAGGCAGCTCCCATTACCTTTCGACCCATCAACTCATGAACCGGGGACCAACGTCCGAAGGAAGGCGTGATCAGAGATTTTATGCCTCAGAAAGTCCCGGCGCGCCGACTGGAATTGAACCTAGGCCTTCTGAGGGTGAGAGGCAATCACGCTTACCACTACACCACCGGCGCCGCTGAGGTTGTGTATGTTGTGTGTGGAATAGTAGAATGAATGTAAGGCACTGTTAGTCTTGTGTTAAACTTAAACGTACTTAAATCTCAAATCGTACTTAAATCTCAAATCGTACTTAAATCTCAAATCGTACTTAAATCTCAAATCGTACTTAAATCTCATTTTTTACCTTGCGAGACAGACCTCGGAAACTATTCGATCAATTTAGCTTATTATTCTGTCCACGACGTAAAAATGAATTATCTAAAATTATTCATCAAATCTTGATTACTTTTTCTGGGACGTATCACCTTTTGTAAACAATGCATTTGATCGTTGATTTGGCGTAACTGGTAAAATTAATCGAGAAATGTTGATTTTTTTTCTGTATGGGTGATTCTAAACATTTGGCATTTATTTGGAAACCTTCGCAGCATTTCTTTTGATTTTTGCCTTCCATAGAACCATCTATGAATTTCCCTTATGACACTCATCTGGTGATTGTCTCTCACTATAGTATTCCGTTAATATTCTTCACAATACTGTAAGAATTATCTACAGGTATCGCTTGAAATTCACTCCCAAATTTTATTAAAAAATTTAACCAATATTCTACTTAACTCCAGATTTCTCGTCAAAATCCTCCACTGAATTCTCGTTTGAGTTGCCTTGATATTTTGCTAGGAATTGCGTTGTATTCTCATGTATTTTGTCTTTGATGCGTTGATGGCAA